ACCAATTTCGCGCTGTTAGTTTAACATATTAAAATGGTTTGACTTCCTACAAACTATAAGCGAGATATGAGTATGTGAAATATTAAAATTTAAAATTTAAATATCGAAAAAACCGACATACTTGCACCAATTAAATGTTTACCTTTAAGGTTGATAATAGGTAAGTTCACTTTAATTACTCGTATTAAAGCTAACAGCACACAATTGGTCGTGCTTTACGAAAATTTGCTTTGTCGTGCGATTGTAAGACGGAAACCATAGCACATGCAGCTGAGGCGTCCTTTTGTACATGTAGTACCTACTTATACCTGTACTGTATTCGTGACCAGACCTACGGGAAATACAGTTTTACTGACCTTACGTTCGACGGTATTGTAAACGTTCAGAATTTATTTCGGGCGCTTTTTTTCATTTCCGCAGAAACCTTTAAGTTGCGTTTCATTTTGTTTAGTAATTAAATTTAGGACGACAGTGGCGGAAACGTATACCAACATACGTATACCACCGTCGTCGTCTTCACACTTTTGATTACTTCAGTGGAGGTGTCGGTCTGATGGGAATCCCCGTAACGTTTGTACACGTCTTCTGGTGCGCGAAGCGCCGGGGGAACGATGACGCGTGTGGAATGATAATATATTTTTGAAGTTATCTCGAGCCAGTTGTACAACAGCTATATAATATACAGTTATATTGACCCTCGTGGAGGTGGACCTACAACCAAACTTAACTTAAACCGTGGGTACCATCCTAATCATATCACTTGTAGGACTCTAATCATAGAATCGAATATTTAGTTGGTTTACATCAACGATACTAATGATATTAATTATTAATGTTAATATTTTTAAAAAAAACTAAGCAAGCTCACCATCAATTGTCCAATAGTTCCAAAATTGTTCTTATCAATTAAGATTTAACATCTCAACACAATAACGTATAGTTGAAATAATGTTTTTATTTAAGTTGGAATACGTATATTATATTATATTTTTAATATATACAATTATTATATTATAAAAATATATTGTATATTTTCATTTTCAATTGTTGAAAAGCAGTGACTTAGTATTGTTTATAGATTCTGAGTGGAGTGAAAAAGTTTATAGTTTCATGAAGATGTTTATTTTTTTTTTTTTTTGTGAAGACTTGCTCGAATTTTTAAGTGTAGCACCTTTTCTGATTGGAAATCGGTGTGAGAAGATACTTTAAGGAGGTCATTTTTCGATTTTCTCAAGAGTTTTCTCATCAAATGCAAAAAACTGAAAAAAAACGGGCACATGTACGAAATATATTACTAAAATATTACGATTTTTTTTCCTGTACACAACTTTTCTACCAACAATTTCGCTCCAACTTATATTGATAGCAATGTTTCTAAAAGGAAATTTCACTATGGAGGTACTTTAAGGAGGTTATTTTTCGATTTTCTCAACAGTTTCTCCGCATATGTGAACAATCGAGATAAAACATGGGAAAACCGGGAAAAACGTAGGAAAACTGAGGAAACCGGTACAACTTTAAACAAATATTATTAAAGAAAATATATAAAGGCTATTTAATTATTTTAATATAATATAGCATATATATTGTTGACAAAGCGTCACTATCAAATTAACTCCGCTCAGAATCGTGTTTTCGTAAGCAATAGTTTATTGTTGCTTACAAGTATACATTAAATTATCTATAATAGTGGCTGCACCGGTCAATATTATCCTATGACGTCTTTTTGAACAGTAATTTTCATTTCAAAGTTTTCAATTTACAGTGAAATATTGCATTTTTTGTTATACGAGTTTTTTAAGATTAATTGTATAATTATTAAAAAAATGTAATTAATTAAGATAACGGTATCAATAGTTTTTTTTTTTAAATCACGCTGCGTAATACAAGGGACAAGAAAGTATAGTTGCCCGAACTATTAATAAATCCCTTCAAGACGTTCGGTGTAGGACGTCCATGAGGTTGGTTCTCTTATATGGTCAGATCGAATCTAGATCGATTTAAACATTTAGATACCTTTGAGTAACTAATTGTAACAGGCATAAAGCAATTTGTAACTTAACCGTTTCCAAAACAACTAAACATTTGCAGAGGTCGAACTTCATGCTGTAATATATAAGGGTTAGGTTCATATTACTTTCATACTAGGTGTATTACCCGACATCAGCCGTATGCAGTTCACATATAGATACAGTTTAGTGTGTGTACTCTAGCTATACATGCTTATTCAAACACCTACTTATTATTAAATATAACAATATTGATATTAAATAAAAACTGATTGATATAATGGCATATAAAAATGCAATGCTTCCTACATCGAAGTGAAAACGAAAAATTTATTTACTGCAATAGATCTGTAGAACATTAAAAATTTTAAAAAAAACATTGTGAATTATCCCATATAGATAATATATTATCGCAGTAAAATGTGCCCCGTATGTTAATCCACAACATATTCTATCTGTGTGCTAAATTTCATTAAAATTCGTACAGTTGTTTTGGGGCCATTGAATCGTCATAAACATTAAAACGTGGTCACAAACTTTTGTATTTATAATACTTGTATGATACGGTTGACGAATAACATGGTAATAATTTGTAGATACGTAGGTAAGTAGTTTTTTTTTCATTTACATAAAAATTGTCAAAGTTAGTGAAGTTGGTCCCCTGGAATTAAATTTAAGTTTCTTCGGAAACGGTTTGGTTACAAATTGTTTTAGATCGGCTTCAATTAGTTACTAAAAGGTTTCTAAATGTTTGAATCGGCCCAGAGTCGATTTGACCATGTTTTGAGCCCAACTTCATGGTCGTCGGTGTAGATGCTTAATAATATAATAATTAACTAATTGCCTACTTCATTTGATTTTCAATACATTTTGGTATAATAATAATTTAGAGCACTATAGTAAATAACAGCTGCACGTGATACATTTAATTTATAAATGGCAAATACTTATTATAATAATGTAAAGTTTATAACAATAATCGCTATCCGTAAAATTATCACCGATACACAATATGAACTTATGCCATTTTGTCCTGTGATGGAGGATTACTGGATAATATTACATCACAATGTAATATGTAAACCTGTTTGATAAATCGCATATATTTTATGCAACTGAGACCAAAGTTTTATCAAAAATAATAAAGTTTCGTATATTGCTGTGCTGTATTATTTATTACATTATACGGTATCTGCATTAGGTAATAATAATTAGTAAAATTGTTTCAAGAATCAGAGGTATATGTATAATATCTATTTATTTAAACTACCTACATAAATATTTATATATAACTTAAACATTATGTTAAATTATTAATGTTAAATAATAAGCTGACAAAACCTTATATTTGACCTAATTTAAAAAAAAAAATAAAAACACTATTTACTACTTGTATTTATATTTAATACAATACCTAAGTAAAAATGTGATTTAAGTTTTATTAATACAAGTACAGAAAAGGCAGGAAGGCGCCCACTGGCAGCATCCATAGAAATACGTTAAGGTTAAATAATTAAAAATAACGGTTTCATTATTTAAATAAGTAACTTTTTTTAGTTTCTTAAAGCTACCTTTATTTGTACTTTCTCAATAATATAATTGTATTTTCTATATATTTTATTATATATAATACAACCGGACAGGTTGGCACATTTTATGCCCTATTCTAACGTACATTATATTCCAAAAATTTCCCTTTGAATAGACTTATGAAACTTGTAAATAAATTCAATACTAATATTTTTGCTTTCGAGATACTGTAAATTCTTTGAATCTTTAATGTAGCTTTTTTTACGTTTTTCTCAACAGTTTTCCAGCCAATGTAAAAAACCAGGAAAAACATGGGAAAACCAAGAAAAACGGAAAAATCTGTACATTAAATAAATATTATTAAAGAGAATATATGATGCCTATTTAATCATTTTACCATAATATGATATATATATATTGTTGACAAAACATCACTATCAACTCAACTCCACTCAGAATCATTTTTTCGTTAGCAGTGGTTTATCGTTGCTTACAGGTATACATTAAATTAATTAAAACAATGGCTGCACCCGACCCCATTATCCTAAGACAGCTGTTTCATTTCGCCACTAAAAAGATTTGTCAAAATAGAATTATTCAATTTTAATATTATTTTTAAAGCCATATTTTACTTTGTCTGTTTAATTATTTAAATTGAAATTCATGACTGCCTTATTTCGATTTGTGGCGTTTTTGCACTACTAAAAAAATAACAGATTCGTTAGAAAAATTTGACTGAATTATAGCTATTTCAATTTTAATTACTAATCTATATTTTCATATTGTATGTATTAAATATTATAAAATAAATGTATGCATTTTGATAAATCAAAAGCGTATACAAGTTTTGTAGTTTACATTTATATTGAAACGGCTCTAATTTTTTATTACAGTTATAAAATCAAAATTACGAATTAAATGAACCCATTATCCACTTTATATCTACTGCATATTTCAATCTTTTCTCCTTTTGTTCTTGACATTTTTTTTATCTTAAACCAACACTTTTCTCCTTTTCGAACCAAAATACACATTTTATGCTCTTGTAATTTTTCTTGTAAATTAATGTATCTGAATAACCTGTAATTGTGTTGATGTGTGAGCGCAAGCCTGTTCTTACAAATAAATAAATAAATAAATAAATAAAAAGCGATACTTGAAAAATTCGCCAATTCAAAAATGATAACAGAAATTTGGGTTCTCATTTCATATTTGTTCTTCGTTTGCGATGTTTGATATATTTTGATTTTCGCTATAATATAAACAATATCGTTTTGGAGGCGCAATAATAGTAACTGTATCCACTGATTCCGTTATCGTCGCGAATTTTCTTGTATGTGCTGTTTGAAAATGTATAGACGAGTACTTTGACACCAAAAGGTAATTTAAAAAAATAAATAAATAAATAACAAACATTTCATTCTAAACATTTGCAATTTTATTTCTCTGTGATCCGATTCGACTGTTATTGGTTTTTCCGTAATGGATCTTGGGGTATATTTTCGATTAACCAAACACCCGAATAGTAATAATATTATAATTGTTCAAGATTTAAATAATTGTGCATGAAATCTAACGCCGCCTGGAGCTAAAACAATAGAATGTTTGACTACTATATTCACTACTGATGAGATTTTGGATTATTAATTACAATATACAAATGTGAAAAATTCCTGTAACTCTGGAACGTTTTATATTTACTGCAAGGACGTAAAATATATTTTTCAAATATATTATTTGCAAAAAAGGTCGCATTATAATAAGTAGGGTAGGTAAAAAAAAAAAAAACAAACAAACAAAAATCTAGGGATTAAATTATATTAAAATTAAATACTTCTGTCATCCGTATATGTCGTTATTTTTCAAAAGTACGAATATAATTCGTCTTATTATAATATTATAGTAGGTACCTAGTTGGTATATGTACTGTTTATACGCGGGACAGATTTTTTTATATTTTTTTAATAAAATCTTATATACCTATATAGGTATATATTTGCGTATGTATTTACATAGGTACGGTTGAAAAAAAAAAGATCTCTTTACCTAAAATATAATTTATCACAGAAAGATACCATTAAAACATTGTAGACATTGCAGAGAAAATATCATTAATTCTTCTATTTTCTACATATATTACATATAACGGATAAACTAATCGGTGGCTGAAAATTTTGAGGAGAGAGACAACTTAGGCATTTGTTCAGTTTAACGTTTAACCTTAAGTCGAAATTCGGTTGACCCTCCGGTCCAGGAGGAAAATTTCAAAAACTTTAAAGTTCATAAACTTACCTTTGGTTCCGACCGATTTCCTCGACTTTAAATAACAATTTTTAACTTTTTAAACATATCTACATATACAATATAAACGACACAAAAATATATGTACCTATTTCTTAGTAAATATGAACATTAATAAATTTCTATTAAACAAAGGGCAATATTCGAGCGAATCGGTGTAATTGTTTTGTTTGGTAAATAACACCTTTTCTCGTCAGTCGGCACATTTAATAAGTTGGCTCCAGTTTACTAAATATTGAAATATATATTATGTTCTCTTCTTCGTCAAACCAATTTTAAATTTAACGCCAGAATACAACGAACCCTTAAACATAGATTATAATATTATCGCATGTTGTATATATGCTATGTATTATAGCGTTATTTCGCATTCAATGTTATATCATTTGACTAGCTTTTCAGTCCGGCGTTTCCCATATCAAAAGAAATCATAGAAAAATCGTATATATATCGTGCTCCCGAAAGAATACTGACACAAATTAAAAAATACGATTTTTCAGTTATTACTATCAAAATATGCAAAATGTCATACTTTATAATTTAGTATAACTGAATTTTTCCATTTATTTAATATTAAAGGCATTAAAAATGTCCTACTATGCCTTCTTAAAATAAATTATCGTTGCCAGTCTAAATATTGACACTTCTGAAATGTGACTGTATTCTAACCGAACTAATGTTGTTACGCCATATTTTTCTAGCCAGAATAAAATCATATCTCTAAACAGCGGCGGATCCAAACATTTTTTAAAAGCGAGCACATTATTTATAAATTATAAATCAAATCAATATAAAATAAATAAATAAACATTTTTTTCAACTTTTTTTTATAGTAAATGTTAGGTATAAATACAAAAAAAACATATTTTGAAAAAGGTATTGAGAATTTCAAATAATGTATCATTTAAACTGCTACTAGGCGGAAAACCTTGGATTTTTATGTTTCGAAGTATAAAATCAGAGAATATTAATTATTAACCGAAAAAATTTTTTTCCGAGGAAAAGAAATATTAGTAATGATATACTGCACTCAGATCTAAAAATTGACACGAAAAAAGTCCATGGCCGAATATTGGTATTAACCTATTTGACAAAATATACGACAGCGTTTTAAAATATAGATATGGCGAATAATTCACGTTCACAATTAATACAATATTTGCAGTGTCGCAAAAATTTGATATTATACGAGCATAATACTCGTCGAGTATTATACTCGTACAGAATAATACATCAATCCGTGATGACAAGGTACAATTAAACCACGTCCCTTATCATTTTATTCGACCGATTTGCCTTAAACAAACTAACAGGTTTGAATGGTTCGTTGATTCTAATTATTTAGAAAATAATTGATAACATTAATCGATCATGGTGTATAACGGATTCTGCAATAATATTTTAATGCTTAACAGTATATTATATTCTGAAATTCCCTTTTAATAATATTGTCATCAATCTCACTGACCGTTTTTTTTTTTTATTATTATTAACTTATGGTTATCCTGCAGATGTCATAATATAAAATACTATATCATCGCTTAAAAATAAAATATATTTAAATCGTATTTTCAAATTGTTTGGCGTCCAATAATTGAACTCAAAAACTTTTCCAAGAGATAAGAATCCGAATATAGCAAAAACATAGACAAATTACACAAACATTAAACAAAAGTAATGAAATCATTAATGTCGTAAACGTTCCCATATTTCTACTTTTTTTTTTATTTTTCCCAATTATTATGAAAACTGGTTGGAAAATCAAAACATGACTTCGTTTTTCATTTTGAACAAATATACTAGGTAGTTTCGGTTTTTGTGAAACATTCTAATTTCTTTGATGTTTGTTTTATAACTTGCATATAACTTGTTTGTATGTATAGTGTTAATTTATTTAATTAATCGTATTTAATATCGAGATATAAGCATTATTAAATTGTGTTATTTCACATACTCATAAATCCCTCTTAAAAATTAAAATATCGAAAAAATAATGCTAACAATGCACAGTTAATGCTCTTACTTATACGTTTTATAATAAGTCCATTTCATATTAAAACATAATCACGGGGTTGTCCTTGCTGAATGAAAATTTGCTATGTCATACGTTTATGATAATAGAGACAAAACATGCGTGTACCGTGCTTTTTGAACATGTCACATGCAAAACAAATTATACATCTATAATAAACAAAATTTTACATATTACATATTTATTTACTGTCACAATACGGATGGGAGTCAAATTTGATAAATAGTTCACAACAAAGTTATGGTTTACATATTATATAAAATTCAGATGTGCGTTACATATATTGGTATAATAGAAGATATATAAATAAGAGACAGTTGACAGAAACTAAAATATGGCTCCTCCTTGGAAGAAATTCGCATCATTCTTTTGATAGGCTAGTTGTATACGTGTTGGTGATAGATCAAGGTGCACGAAAAGAATAAATAGACCGTGAGTAGAAGGGAGAGACCTAAAAACTTATTTGGAATAGGAGTACAGAGAAGTCAAAGTTTGCTTCAAATATAAAGTGATCCATATACATTGTACACAAATTATAGTTTCACCGAATATTTGGGTTTTTAATTTTAATTTGTATGCAATTTCACATTTTCACCTACTAACATTTTGTATATAACTATAATACAATACGTCAAGTTTTTCATCACTTTACAATTTTTTAATTTTACATACACGTTTACAACAATAAATGATCAGCTATGTTTTTTATTTAGAATTATAAAATATACAAATATTAATATAATATTATGAGCCATTCAAATAATAAAGACATTTTTCATTAGAAAACGATTTTTTTTTTTTTTTTAAAGTTAATAAAACGTTTGTAATTATTGATAATTTATGATATTTATTCCATGACAATTGTACATGGCTTACATCTTGTTAACTTTAATTACTTTTACTTATAATAACAATGAAAGAAAGTGTTGATTTATTTATCTGTTTGTGTGCGATTCACTGCAGCTGAATCAATCACACGCAGATGTCTGAAAATACATAATATACAACGGATGAACGGGTTCGTTTTATACCTGTACGCCGAAGCCGGATTTCCGAAATTCAACACCTAAAGGATGCCCAAAGACAGGGTTACTGGTATTTTCAGAACAATTTAAATTATGTTTGATGATTTATTACGAGTTATATTATTGATAATACGGATGTCACATAATTATAGAAAAGCATATTATATCCGTGATTTTACAAGAGAGACAAAAGATACGTTAAATTAAATTTTTTTTTTTTTTCATTTAGGTTTTGAAAAGGATTTTTTTTAAATGGTCAAAAGAAGGGGGAATTTAATTAGCATGGTTACAACTCCGGGTTGAACTAGCCAGTAGGTTTTCCATAGGGCATGCTTATACACACAATATATTATACTTCATTTTCATAATATCTGGGAAAAACCGGGATAAAATGTAGGAAAACAGGAAAATGTACGGAAAAAATTGATTTATAACTCAGTTAAAAATATTCGTGGTAAATTTAAATTTAGGCAGAACACTTTTATTTACTTTTTCTAGACGTGGTAAATCTGTAAAAAAATTTGAACCGTTTTTAAACTTTTTATAAACATTTTAATTGTGTGAATAATTTTTATTTGGTATAGGTACCCCGTAGACAAAATTGTTAGATTAAACAAAAATGCTTGAAAATTGAACAGGAGGTTCATTAAAAATCGTACTTTGTGGCCAAAACAAAAGATAATAGTTAAATATAGTGTTTTTTTTTTTTTTTTTTTATAAGAATTTCAATATAAAATTTAACGAAAATCGTTTTAGCAAAAACTTGTCCATACAAATCGTTTCAGTATATTTTTATTTTATTATAATATTTATATTATTTAAAAAGTAATACTATTAACCGAGCTCCGCTTAGAATCGTTTTTGTTAGCAATGATTTATCTTTACTTACAGATATACATTAAATTAAGTTCCCCTCTATAACCTACATTTCCAACTTCTCATCTGCAACAGTGGTCCACCGTATATCCGTTTTTCTTTTGTTTTTTTTTAAATTTTAAGTGTTTTTTTTTTTTTTTTGGTAATTTTAATTTAATTTTTGTATTATCGATTATAATTACAATAGCATTAACCATAAGAAAGATCAAGAATTTAAAGTATACTCTCAAAAAAATTGATGGGTACACTTTTGGTTATACCTATATAATAAGCTATTGGTTCAAAATTTAAACTAAACCCAAACAATAAATTATAATTTTAGCAAAAAATAATAAAAATTTAATAGAATACCTTAAATGCTAAACATATTATCAAATAGTATTTCAAGTTAAATGAAACAGATTTTGTAAGGGAGAACAACTAATCTCGTGACTACAATATTTACCTCTCAAGCGCGTATATTA